TGCCTTCCGAAGAAACAAAACAAAGACTGGTAGGTAATGTCACTTTAATCATAATTTGTCCTGTATAGCACTTGAAGAAAGTTTAACTGGAAAATCATGAAAGCTTTTACGACATGCCCAGGAACAGTCTTTACCAGTATTCCTAGCAGCATTCCACACAATTTTTACTTACCAGTGTGAGGATATGGAGGTCAGCTACATTTTAAATTCCATTTCAGAGCAGGTACATGGAGTTTAACCACAGCTAAGCAAACCCTGAGCAAAAATTACCTTTCAAACGATGTTTCCAGCCCTGGTTTATCTTTTTAAGAAACTTTCTGCTGTTCTACGAAAGACAAGAGTCAAGATGTTCATTTATTTTAGATTCCAAAACATCAGTCTCACAGACAGGACAAGTGACTCTTCTCTCCTGCCTCACAGGATTGCTAGGACTTGCAGAGGACTGTGTAAGTTCAACTCTGTTTTTTGTAGTTGTAGTGACATAAGTACCCCCCTTTTTGTTGAAATACTTTTCAAAGGCAGTTTTGTCTTCCTTTTTTGGCCATTGCTGCAGTGTATTAACACATTCTAAGCTTTTTTTCTCAGATGCACCCTGAGCTCTTGGGGTCTGCTCCAAACAAATTCGTTTTGGTGACCAGTTAGAAGATGGCATAGCCCTCTTGCCAACTGGTGAGCCTTGGCTTGATGTTTCTTCGGCAGCACGAGCCATCCTAGCAGGCAATCCACAGTCGTTCTCATCATCTTCTGGGTGAGCAGCAGAGAGTTTTGGAAACTCACTCTTTAAAGCTAAGCTGCTCTTCTCACCAGCACCTTTGGTATGAAGCAGAAAGATACTGCCATGGGGTAATTTTTCCAGTTTTATCTTGTTTTTAGGGATTGGTGATGTCCTTACTGCTGAATGATGCAATGAGCCATGTGCTTCACTGTTTGCAGTGGAGCTGATGGCATTTGTGTTTTTCTCTGAAAGTACACCGTCTCCTCCTCCAAGCCGATGTCCCGTTCCACTAAAAGGACTCAAGTCTTTGCAATTACCATGCATTTGTGTCTTGCCTGCAAAATCAGATTAAAAAATAAATTAATATTTTCATTAAAAAGTCATGGGCTTATTATTTGAAGTGCTTCACACAAAAAAATCTGCTGCTTGAAAATAATGCGTCAAACTAAACATTTTGTAGACAATACAGTTGAGGAGCAGCCTAGAAGTGCAAAAACAAAAGGCCCTGTTCTTTGGCTACATAACAGTAACATCAAAACCAAGCTTATGTAGTGTTTGGTCCATATTTGTTCAAGAAAACTTCTGGACAAAAATCAGTTCAGAAAAGAAAAAAAAAATCATAAAATACCTTCATTAGTTGACTTGAAATGTGGAGGTTTTGCTGCCTGAGTTTTCTGCTTGGACTTCTCCGAGAATTTCTCTGGCTCTTTCACTTTTGTGAACGTGCCCCCACACGTCCTTTGATGTTCATCCCACCAGAAGTCATGTGCAGAGGGTGCTCTGTTCATTGAGCGCTTCACATATCCAAAGTAAGGCGCTCTGTTTTGGCAGGGGCCATTGCACCGCCACCAGTGCTGGCGGTACACATTAATCTCATCATAAAAATCGTGATAGATCTACATTTAGAAAAACAAACAAACAAACAAAATCCACAAAAGAACAGTCACTCAGGAAGTTACAAATTTTATATCACTAGCTCTAAAATGTTTTTTAAAAAAATCTGTTTCCATTCAATTCCTTCCACTACTGCTGTGATTTTTATATTAGCAGTTAAGAGCTAGATCTGAGTAAAAATTTATCAACAATGCTTTAAAAAAAAGATAGGAAGCGTAGGAATATGTCCTGGTTATCTTGTTGGAACTGCAAAAAGATAATTTTGGAAATCTATCTACAATTTCACATAGAAGATGTACTGTTTAGAAAGCATTTCAAACAATACCAGTATTGTATTCTCCTTTCAGTTATTACCTTAATTGATCTTATTAGATGCATTATTTTTAAATATTGACAGAAATATTGACCCTCTATTGACATAAATCTTGACTGCTCTTCACATGGAGCACTTCTGTCCCTGCTACCATTTAAGCTCTTTCTAATTTACCACAAAAGCTTAAAGAAAAATTCTTACAGAGAACATACCTGAAAATTACATGACTAACAGCTCACCACATCTTCCTCAACCTCTTTCCACCACCATCCCCAACAAATAACTATGGAACTAGCATACACTTGGATGCAAATTTGTATTGGTACCAACTGTGGAGTGTCTAATAAGAACATTACTTAATATGCACCAGTCAACCAAAACAGCAAATCAGGAAGAAAGCTCTATTAAAGAAGGTGAAGAGGATTATTCTTACTGTGACATTGGCTCCAGTCAGGAGATTAATACGACGCATGTGCTTGCAGAACTCAGGTCCATGGGACTCACGATCTTTGTAGTTATGAGTAACAAAGAGCAGGGCGTGGATCATTTCGTGCAACAGCGTCTGAAATGATGCAACCATTAGATATTCAATGAAAAGCATCGCATTTTCAGTTTCATTATTAAGCTGCAAGTATTGTACTCTTCTACATTGATTGTGGTTACTGATCTTATCTTTGATTATTCACATACTCAGTCTGGGTCATAAAAACATAATACTTTGATCTATCAAACCAAATTACCCCTATTCCCACATCACTAAAACACACTGCATAATATCACTTCCATAAGCAGCATTCCAAAAAGGAGATATAATCCTCAAATTTAAATTGGATCTTTAAAGACATCATCCCCTACACAGCCCCCAAAAAGAGCCATTTTGAGCAAGCTGAAATTCTACAGCATTTCTGTTGTTAGGCAAATCTGAATGTTCAGCCAGCTCCAAGCAGCAACTCTGGCAGAGGCCCAAAAGCAATAAAATGTCATGTTAAGTCATAACCTATATCCTTATTTTCTGCTGTTGGCCCTTTCAAAACTATAGTCCATGTTTGGTTTGAATATTAAAGGATAATTTTGGAGTTAAAAGCCTGGGGTGTTATTTTCTCTATATAAAGTCAATAAAATAAACAAGTGACTTAAGACTTCTACTGGGAATTGCCCACTTAGAAACATAAAACTAAAGATTACCATGGTACTGCAACACAAGCCACATGAATGTAACAGTAAAGCCAGTGCTATTTTATGACCTATAAGTTACTGCATAACAGAATCCCACTATGAAATCTAAAATGTTTGTATGAAGTGGCGGGTGTGCACAAAACACTTCACGTGCAGATTCATAAGCCATGTTCGAATACCTCCACAAGATCCTTCCTCGGCCGTAACTTTAGAAGCGGCTCACTGAGACGAATGGAACACAACCCACTACTTTTGTGATATGAACAGATACCAGCAGAGCTGAAAGGAAAGAAGAAAGAAAATACAAAAATGTATTTGTTTCTTTCTTCATTGTAGCACATGAAGAAAACAGAGAATTTAAGTCAGAATGCCATCCCCTGTAAACACATGCTAGGTCACTCAGAACATGGAATAAAATCACTTTGAGTAGTTACCTGAAAAATTCAGCATCATTAAGCAAAGAAAGAAAATATCCACAAGTTCCTTATAGTAGAAAAACCTGGTTTTTAAGGTAGAAGAATGTTTCCTTTAGAACTTGTGATGAACTAAAATACACTGCACAGAGGCTGGAGATTCACGGCAGCAAATGCAGACTTAATTGGCAGTTGTTTCAATTTTACTCCCCACCCTTCATCAACTTTTGGCTCATACTGAACCTACATATACCTCCACTTCTGTGCACTAATCCAGCAAACACGACTTTTTTTTGTTTGTGTTAGTCCTACTGAGTTAGCCCTCAATCGGTGCAACATCCAACTGTTTCCAAATGTCTAAAGAATACCGCAGCCAGCAGAGGATACGAGGTGGTGGGACTTCCAGCTGCTAGCAACTGCATCTGCTGCAGAACTGCAGCCTGCACTTTAAAGATTTCTAGGTTTGTTTAACCTCAGATTTCTTCTATGTTCCCCTTCCTAGCCCATTCTAAATTTTTCTAATATACTATTATTGGTTCATATTTGTCCTTCTGCTGTGCAGTAAAACTATCATAAAAACTGAGAACCAGAGCAGCAACACGAGCATGTGAGGCTTCCATACACATCATCTAAGACCAAGTAATTTCTTCCATTTAACATCCCTCCAGCTTGCCTGCATCCCGTGGAAAGCCATTGGTGGCTGCCACGGACGACAGATGCAAGGCAAGGGAGACAATGACGGCGACCAACTCACGTCCCGCCGTCCGGGCTCTGCCGGCGCTGCGGAACATCCGAGTGCCCGGGAAGAGAAGCCACGGCACCAGCAGGGCGCTAGCGGGGCACGGCGAGGAGAAGCACAGACAAGCGACAGCTCCTGCCGACACCGCGCACGCCGGCGGCGGCGGCACGGCGGCAGCTCCCGGACACACGGACCGGCCCGGGACAGCCCAGCCCCGGCAGCTCGGCCCACATCCCCCTGCCGCACCTGGTCATGCGGGGGCTCCAGGACACCGTGACAGCCTCCAGCTTGCCCCAGAAGAGCGTCTGGTTGAAGTGCACGAACAGGCCGTGCACGTCCGGGCTGGGGTCCAGCAGCTCCCACGCCTCGTCCACCACCGACAGCGGGCGGAGGGATGAGCCGTACGGAGAGACATCAGGGCGCTTTGCTGCCGCCGCCGCTGCCTCGTCCTGCTCTTCCCAGTCCCTCTGCAGCCTGAGGGCCAACAGGAAATCCTCGTCCTCCATCCCGAGCGCGGCTCCGTCGGCCGGCACAGAGCGCAACCGGAACGCGCAGCGGCCGCGACGCACGCGCAGCACCGCCCCGCGGGCGCCGCCGCCGCGTCCTTCCGAGTGCGCGGGCCGGCACATCCCTGCGCCGCTTCCCTTCCCTTCCTTCCCTTCTCCTCGCTTGCTCCGCTCCGCCTCCGCCGGCGCGGCCCCATCCCGTCACCGCAGGCAGTCGCTCCGGCCGCGGGGCGCAGGCGCAGCGGGTGTCGCCGGGCGGGTACCGGGCGGACATGGCGCTGTCGCTGGGCGAGGGCGGCGGCGGGAGCCGGCTGCGGCGGCAGCTGGAGTCGGGCGGCTTCGCGGCGGGGGAGTACGTGAAGCAGCTGTCGCAGCAGTCGGACGGGGACCGGGACCTGCAGGAGCACCGGCAGCGCATCCAGGCGCTGAGCGAGGAGACGGCGCAGAGCCTGAAGCGCAATGTCTACCAAAACTACCGGCAGTTCATCGAGACGGCGCGGGAGATCAGCTACCTGGAGAGCGAGATGTACCAGCTCAGCCACATCCTCACCGAGCAGAAGGGCATCATGGAGGCCGTCACCCAGGCCCTGCTCCTCCAAGCCGACCGCGACGACCCCGCGCTGGGCGCCCGCCGCGCCGCCGCCGCCGACCCCTTCCTGCCGCTGTCGGCCAAGGAGGCGGCGGCCAGCGAGGAGGGGCGGCAGCGCACTCTCACCACCCTCCTGGAGAAGGTGGAGGGCTGCCGCGACCTCCTGCCCGAGAGCCCTGGCAAGTACCTGGTGTACAACGGCGACCTGGTGGAGTACGACGCGGACCACATGGCGCAGATCCAGCGGGTGCACGCCTTCCTGATGAACGACTGCCTGCTCGTGGCCACCGCCCTGCCCAGCCGCCGCGGCGCCTACCGCTACGACGCCCTGTACCCCCTCGACGGGCTGGCCGTGGTCAACGTCAAGGACAACCCGCCTATGAAGGACATGTTCAAACTGCTCATGTTCCCCGAGAGCCGCATCTTCCAGGCTGAGAACGCCAAGATCAAGAAGGAGTGGCTGGAGGTGCTGGAGGAGACCAAGCGCAGCCGCGCCCTCAGCGAGAAGCGGCGCCTGGAGCAGGAGGCTCTGCCCCGGCCCGCGCCCGCGCCCCCCGAGTCCACCAACCCCTTCGACGAGGACGAGGAGGAGGAGGATGAGCCCTCCGCCGAGGAGGAGGTTGTTGACCTCTCACTTGAGTGGATCCAAGAGCTGCCCGAGGACCTGGACGTCTGCATTGCCCAGCGGGACTTCGAGGGGGCGGTTGACCTGTTGGATAAGCTGAACGAGTACCTGGCGGACAAGCCTGCGAGCCAGCCCGTGAAGGAGCTGCGGGCCAAGGTGGATGAGCGCGTCCGGCAGCTGACGGACGTGCTGGTGTTCGAGCTGTCCCCGGACCGCTCGCTGCGCGGAGGGCCGCGGGCCACCCGCCGGGCCGTGTCCCAGCTCATTCGCCTGGGCCAGTCCACCAAGGCGTGCGAGCTGTTCCTGAAGAACCGGGCGGCCGCGGTGCAGACCGCCATCCGGCAGCTGCGCATCGAGGGCGCCACGCTGCTCTACATCCACAAGCTCTGCCACGTCTTCTTCACCAGCCTGCTGGAGACGGCCAGGGAGTTTGAGACGGACTTCGCCGGCAACAACGGCTGCTACTCGGCGTTTGTTGTCTGGGCCCGCTCGTCCATGAGGATGTTTGTAGACGCCTTCAGTAAGCAAGTGTTTGATAGCAAGGAGAGTTTGTCAACTGCGGCAGAGTGTGTCAAGGTAAGAGAGTCCAAAGAGTTGGGTGGTGGGGCACAGCAGCTGAAACAAAGGCTTCAAAGCTTTAAAGTCTCGTCTCTAACTCTGGTTTGGTTGTTGACTCTTGTGTGGGTCTCCAGAAAGATTTCCTGAGTTGAAAGATTAATATTCATTCGAGGTTTGTTTGGTTTTTTTTCAGTTTAACAGAGGAAATCCTTAAGGTTATAATACAGGCCAAGGAAAACCCTGCCTTTATCAGGAATGCAAAATGTGTTAATTCTTAATTTACCTGTAACTAGTAGGAGGTCCTAAAATTTACATGAACTACACCTGAATTATAAGTACTTCAAAACTTTCTCTTTGTTCTCCAAGGCTGTCTTTAGGTACATTTTCATACTTTTTTTGCAAGACTAACTTTCTCAGGTTATGCTTTCTTTTGGCTGCTGATTGGGAGGGGGGGAAAAAAAGTTTGTGCATGTGGGTTACATAGTGTAATTGTCCAGAGTTTTTTTGACAGCCAGGGTGTATCTTTCAGTTATTAATTTCTCATTAATGAGATTCTTAAAGCACGAGAAACAAGTATGAGTAACCCATCTCAGTTTTCTGAGATGAATTTGATAAATGTGTAAGGTGAAAAGGGAGCCTGCACACTAATAACATCCTTTGCTTTTCTTTGTTATCCCAGGTGGCTAAAGAGCACTGCAAGCAGCTGAGCGAGATTGGACTGGATCTCACCTTCATTATTCACGCCCTTCTGGTAAAGGATATCAAAGGTGCTTTGCAGAGCTACAAGGATATCATCATCGAGGCCACCAAGCACCGCAACTCTGAGGAGATGTGGAGAAGGATGAACCTGATGACTCCAGAGGCACTGGGGAAGCTCAGGGAGGAGATGAGGAGCTGTGGGGTGGGCAATTTTGACCAATACACGGGGGATGACTGCTGGGTCAACCTCAGTTACACTGTAGTAGCTTTCACTAAGCAGACTATGGCCTTCTTGGAGGAAGCGTTAAAGCTTTACTTCCCAGAGCTGCATATGGTTCTCCTGGAGAGTCTGGTGGAAATCATCCTGGTGGCTGTCCAGCATGTCGATTACAGTTTACGGTGTGAACAGGACCCGGAGAAAAAAGCATTCATTAGGCAGAATGCCTCTTTCCTGTATGAAACTGTCCTTCCTGTTGTGGAAAAAAGGTTTGAGGAAGGAGTTGGAAAGCCAGCCAAGCAGCTACAGGATCTGAGAAATGCCTCAAGATTGATGCGTGTAAATCCGGAAAGTACCACCTCTGTGGTGTGAAGTGAACCTAACTGTTCCTCAGAACAAGGTGGCAGCACTTACTGAAGATTGTTGTACATTGAACAGATGAACTAAACAGGGGTTTTTTGAGTCCCTGAAAGATGCAGAACTCTTATCTGCTGCATTCCAGAAGCTGAAGACTTTGAATCAATGCCTGCAAGCATGCAATGCTTTACTTGTTGGATGGGGTGTAGGGAAGTGAGAAGGTGGAGGTCACATGTCCTTGACAGCATATCCTCTATGAAGGGCTTGTGTAGTATTTGTGACGTGGGAAATAACTGTAATACACAAATTTTGGCCAATTGTTTGTGAAAGTCTTACATACATATACAGCAGATGGCAGGAAAAGATCAATTCTCATCATGTCACTGTAGCAGTTCTTTTTTAAGGCAGTGTTCTGGTAGGAGGGTAAGTGCTGAAGCATTCCCAGGGTGTGGTATTCAGTAAGGCACGTCCACCATCCACATGTGACTCTGCAGATAAATGACATGGATTTGCACAATGTGATTTTTGTGGTAGCAATGCAGACTTTTCTTTAACATTGAGATTATCTTAATTCATTTCAGAGGCAGAATGAAATAAAAATGCTTTTAATATAGGTTCTGGTGTTTGTGTGAAGGGGCTTCTTCTGTTAAGTAAGCTGGCCTGTCAGCTTGAATTATAGTTGTCTGAAAACAAACCTGCTGTCTGAACAATTTGTTTGCTTCAAGAGAAGTGAGAATAAATTTCTTCCTTTCCTCTTTATGTTCCTCTTCCATGTTTTCTCACGGATCTAATTGGGGTCATGTCCATTTAGTGAAGTGTGCACTGTTGCTTGAGGGGCTGTCACAAATGCATTATGGGCTGTTGTCTCCTGGTTGGAACCATAGAGAAGAGGCATAAATGCTCTTGAGACGTGCAGGGCAGGGAGAGGGACTGAAGGGACTGTTTCATTTGGAAGAAATGGAATGCTAGTTTTGCTGTACAGAACAGAAGCAGCACCTGGTGAAGGGACTCTGAGGCTTTTTTGTAAGAGATGTGAACTTTGAAACATGCACTGTCTCCTGCAGAAATCACAAGGATTTGGCTAGCAATTTTAATGTTGATGGGGCAAGTTTATACAAATACTTTTATGTTTGGATTGAATTATGTTGGCTGTCTGATGCAGTGTATGTCTCTGAAAATAAAATAAGCCAAGTCTTTTGTGAAGGATGGCTTTGGAAAGCTGTCAGCTTCAACTTCTAAGCTGTGCAAACTTCTTCCGCTTCCGTGCAAACTTTCTTAATTGTGAGAAAATCATGTTACAGCTAAGGGACCTTGTGATCAGTCCCTCAAAAAGTGTCCTTAACGAGAATAACTAAATATCGTATTCCTGTAACACTTTCAAATTAAAACTTTTGCAGTTTGTGTCATGGTAATGAATGCCTTGTGACTACCTGAACAAACAAAAGGTATCACTAGTAAAACATTTTGTGTGACTATATACTGGAGCTTCTTAATTTTTCCCTATTTTCATAGTGCTAGTTCAGCGCAGTTTTCACAGTGTCTGGGTTTTGTTCTCTTGCTCTTTGGATGCCTTTTGAGCTGTCAGATTTTGCAAAGCATCCTATTGTCTCTGCTCACTTGCTTTGCAATGTTTGGGCCTTTTGCTAGCAACTCACAAAAAAAGTCATACAAAATGTTTTTAAAGAGTAACTGGTTGCTCCCAGCTTGCATTGATTGAAAACCAGTGAAATAGGTCTAGTGAGTTAGAACTTGTGTAACATATTCTGTCAGAGAGTCCTATTGGTGTTATTTCAGTAGTGAACTGGTTTTGATATCAGAACCTAGTGAAGTACAGCAAAGTAATATAACCTCTGTCATTTGTTTAAAGTGGGAAACCTAATCTGAGAAATGTGTTCAAGTGAATTATAATTGAAAGCTGTGTGTGGTGATGGGTATTTTGAAGGAGAGGGAGAAGAGATGGCTTTTTTTTTTCTGTGAACATGGGTAGATTTCTTTTTATTTAACAGCAGAAGAAAGCAGAATAAATACAGACGAGCCTTATCTTTATCTGTGTGTTTGCAAGAGAAGGGTTAGATCTGGAACTCTAGACTGATTATTGTGATGCTTGGGGATTTTATGCAAGAAGCTGAATTGTAGTTTCCCAACTCCTAAGCATTAACATGACAGTGAAAAGGAGGAGAGTCCTGTTCATGCTTCTGCTGTGAGCTGGTGTAGCACGGCTTACCCTTCTCCGAGAATATGTAGAATGTAATTCTGCCACATGCTCTGTTTATGCCTGTGTCACTGAGCCTTTCATCAATCTATTTATGGCTCACTGAGCCTACTGATTTTGTCTCTGCTGTCGTCCATGGAGCAGTGGGCTTACACTGATGTTGGGTTTAAGGCATCAGGAAATCTTTTAATTTGGGTCATCAAACATCATGTTCTTGTGCCTGTCAAAATTCAAACAGGTGTGGGTTGTGTAAACTGCTATAAGTGGCATTGATATTTTTTAACTTGTGACTCTAAGTCATCATAAAAGAAAAACACTAACATAAAGAAAATGGTGTGGAATTAAACTTAAGTTGTATTATGGTAACTTGTTTAACAGAGAAAAATCGGTGTATGCTGAGTCATAGTTCAATAAATTTCAGTTTTGGAATGGCACTTTCCTTTTCCTAAGCTGTACACTTGTGGGGATAGTGTTGTTCAAGTTGGGATTTGCAGTAACTACTGAATAAACTACAGTTCTACTAATTAGAGAAAGAACTAATATTGGGTTTTTTTTGAGACAACTGCAAATAAAATCTGGTTTCCTTTAGCTGCTGTGACAAAATTATGAAAAACTATTCTTTTTTAATTCAGATAAATTTATGTATTAGAATTTAATGCAATAACTTTTCTGAACAGTGAAGACAATGTATTAAAACATTTGGACATACAGCACTAGTGGTGTATTTATTTTGATCACCAGAAAGTGGATGTTGGTTTGGAGTTCCAGTGAAGTCAGAGAGCTGCAGGTCAGTCCCTTGTGAGGGAGAGGTGAGCAGCAGCCAGCTGATGAAAGCCAAGTGGTGTCACTTCAGTTACATTCTTACAAAGCCACTTCAGCGAGGTGATGCTGGAAGAAAATGTTTCTGGACGCGGAGAGGCTGTACTCTGCTATGATGGGACTTTGAGTGTGTGTGTGTGATGGATTATCAACACCGAGGCAGCGTAATGCTAAAGGGTTTGTTATCTTGCAGACGTTTTTGTGTGGAGTCCATGCATGCTTACCTTGGGTGCTGAATGTGTAGTACAGCCTGTCCCCTCACTAGGTGGAGCTTTGTGCCATGAAACCTGAGCAGGCTGCGAGCAGGCACAGCATGGAAGCTGTGCTGCCTGCAGTGTGGCTTGGCAGGTTTTAGGTAGCATGCTAGGGGAAGAAGATGCTGCCGAGAATGATCCAGATGTTATATTCAGGTCTTTTCCATTCCTTAGTAGTGGTTGTGTTCTGCATTTTCTAATTCTTGTACTGTTTAATTTTTAGTTCTTCATGTTTCCCTGAGGTGTTTCTGTACCATTGGCAGGTGACCTCTAGAGTATCTCACCTTTCTGCTTTTCTTTAAGGTAGATACTAACATGTAACTTGTGTTCTGCCTGAAAAGTACTGCTACACTTCAAGCCCCTGCAAAAGTGTGAAGAGTTGCTTGTCCCAGCTGCAGTTTTATATCTCATGTAAAATGTTCAGATTAGTGACTTCTGAAAGTCAAGTTTGTGTGACCTCTGGTCATGTTATTTCAATATTGGACTGAAATTCCTGTGTAACTTCATGCTCACTGTGCAGATTTGCACTCCAGCATGGTAACAGAGAAGGTCCCCACCACCTGTCATTATAATTTACACACTTTGTATTCCCTTTGCTGCCCAACTGTTTCAGTTTAACTGAGTTACCTTTTACTTAAAATTAGTAGTAGTTTTACAGACTTCAGTAATGAGAATCAAATCTGGCATGGGGCTTTTCTGTCAAGCAGCTCTGTGATTATAGACATCTTTTTCCTCACAGGTTCAGGAGTTGTGATATGCCTTCAATCCCTACAAAGTCTGACAGGATAGTGGAGAGAGAAACACCTCAAACTGTGGGGATTTATGTCATTTACCACTTCAAGGGATGTTGACTGGAGTAATAGATTAGAATTTGTTTGAGCCACCTTGGACACAGAGTTGTGTGTATTACAAGAGGTAATACACCTCTTCTGTATTTAGGAAACTTTGTTTATACAGCTTCAGCAGCCTCAACATGCCCTGTAATACAGTTCTCAATTTCAGGGTTACAAGCTGAGCTAGATTATCTGCTACAGATGTGCTCAGTTTGACACAGCAGAGATAAAGTACTGGCAAGGGACCTGGCCTGTGCTGACCACTGAGCAGTGGTACCCTTCCTGGGGCTTTACATGGCTGATCAGGGCAGTTTTAAGGCAATTTTAGATCATCTGTCTGAGGCCCTGTGCTATTTATTCTCTCTCCCTCCCCATGCAGTAGCAACATTCCTTTGAATTCCAGGAAGAAGAGTGGGTAGTGTTAACTTCACTGCTGCTTGGCAAAATCTTGGAGATGCTCAGATTGATGATATTTTCAAGTTATTAAAAAAAAATTAAAAGCATACAGCTTTTCATCCAATTGCAGCAAGACACCTAGTTCTTCCTCTGTCCTCCCAGAAACTGGTCCAAACAAAATCAAGAATCTCATTAAGGTAAGAGAGACTTAGTCTAATCCATTGTGATACAAGGCATGTGAATCTAAACACTGCAAACTTCAGCAAAATTAAGATCTGAACTTCAGACATTCTCCAAACTGACTGGGATGAGGGGAAACTTTGCCTCAGACTCTTCCAGACTTCTGGACTTTGAGTTCCCTGGGCTTTGAGTCATTCCTACTGTTACTAAAAATCACAATTCACAGACAACAATCTGTGCCAGTCAGACTAAAGTGTTTTGCTTTGTTTTGTTTTAATTATAGCTTTACAGCACTGCTGCAGTCTGGAGATTCCTGTTATGTTAATTTTCCAAACCCAGTATTCGCTATAGGAAGGAGCCCAACTCCTGCAGGATGGGATTGTCAAGAGAGTACTTGAAGCTCTGCAGAGAACCCCTCCTTCCTCAGGATTCAGTGATTTTTTTCTCTCAAAATGTAGATCTCTGATAACCAGCTCCTGCTCTGCTTTATTTCCCCCTCACTAACAATTGGCAGGATTGTTTGTTTTCCCACTCCGCAATATAACCTCTCCAGCAGAGATGCCCGACTCACTTTGTGTGGAGGGAGGATGTCAAACTGAATGTTGAGTTACTGTCTGTACATCTGTCCTAGCACAATTCAGGCTACATTAACTGCCTGCCTGCCTGCTCTTACCATTGACAAAGTTGGTGGGGAGAAGACGGATTGGGAGGCTTGCAAAGAAAGATCTGTAATCTTTGTCCCTCTGACTTCCACCCAGCAAGGTGCTTAAATACACACTGAAGATGCCTCCCTGAATTTGGGAAGCCCATTCCTATAGTCAGAGGCAATCAGATCTTAAAGTGCTTTTCACGAATGGAGGATCAGTAAATTTCTTCTGAAATTTGCAAAAACAATTGGCAAAGAAGGGATGGGAGAGTAGTACCAGAGCAACAGCACCACATAAGCAAACAAAATGTGTGCTCCTAGGACATCTCGGCTCTAGTGTGACAAATGGTAATCCCAAACAAAGCCTGCTCCCTCTTAGGGTGGGAGCAGTAGGCTCCATAAATCATCAGCACCGCAACTTTCCAGGAGGCAGCAATAACAGTGTTGGACACCCTAAAATAAAGTCACTTCATCTGACCTGCTGTAATAGGTGACACCGCATCAGGGTGGAGGAAATGCCCTCAGGAAAACGATGACACTTAAGGAAGGGTGCACATGGAGGCTGGATCACCTGCTGCTCTGAGACGTGGCTCCACCTGAACCTGACACAATGCTGGCTGGCGTTGTCCCAGCCTCCTGACACACACCACCCTCCCTCATTTTGCCCAACTCCAGAACCTCCCGTGGTGAGCATTTTCCTCCTGCTGTCCGCTGCCTCCTCCCTGCCGGCAGGATTAACCCCATCTTGTTTGCTTGGTGACAAGAGATGTGTGCAGGGAACAGAAGGCCCCGGAGGAGTCACCGCCCGCAGCTTCACGCCAGATAACTCCTCTCCTGGTGTGTCTCTAATCAGTCACTAGTTTTTGTCTTCCACAGAAGTTTATTACCATTTAAATAGCCTTTCAGCCTGAGATGTCCTGTGGGATTTCTGCCTCTGCTGCCACATGCCCTGTGAAATTAATTCCTGTAAGAGCATGTCTTCTCAGGAAAATGGTAAGAGCTCAACTAAGCTGGTTTAGAAACTGTTTTAAATCCCCACATGTACTTCTATGGCCCTTTAGTCTGGACTGGGGCACTTTCTAAGTACTCAGCATGGGGTCAAATATGCTTAGAATGGAAAGTGTGTATTTCCAACCAGAATTACCACACTGAATCCTGCTGTCTGGGGCAATGTTTTTGAGTACTGTGAGCAAATTCCATATTTAACGCAGCATGTGTTTTTAGGCCTTGCAGACTTAAAGGCCAGACTGCAAATGCCTTTAATCAGGAAGCAATTAATTGCACAGATTTCCTCCTTGCAGCCAGTGTAGCACTCAACCAGCTAATACACCCTGTGAGGCAGTGGCTCATGCCTGCACACTACTTTTATTACTGTGTATCTCTGCTAATTAGTGTGGCAGGCCAGTTTGCTACAGGGTGTTCAGATAAAAGGTACAGTCAGTTTAACAATTTAAAGATAGCTTTAAGAAGAAAAATCACGTAGTTTGCATTCCTGATGAGCTTTTTAAAAATTATTATTACAATTATTGTTTTTCCTAAAGAAAACTCAAAAGAAGGATTGATACTTTTGATGGAAGTCAAGGACTTGGTTTTGACTTCAAGTGTTGTTCCAAGTAACTTGTAGTCGAGCATATTCAACTGGAGCTTTTTCCAGAGCACTGTGATGCTCACCCAAGACCAACCCCAAGCAGAAAACACCTGGTTTGTATCCCTTGCACTCACCTTCATGCAAAGGATCACAGTCTTGGTTCTCTATCAGAAATGGTGCTCAGCTTCACTTGGAGAGAAGAGTATGGGGAGGTAGGGGACATGTTTAGCCCTCATTGACCGTACCATACAATGTCTTACAAAACAGGAGGGTAAGACTTAGCTGCCCCTCTGCCCCACATTAGCCCAGGGCCATTGCTCCACCTGCTAATGCTGACACCAGCCTTCTTCACTATCTCAAACACAAGTCTCACATCCTTCCTGTCCTACATACTGGCATAAAGAACACATTCCCTCATTTTGCTATTTTTATAATTTACTAGTAGAAACCTTCCTCCCTGCACACACAGGTCTTCATGTTTGACTACTATAATTGCATTTTCAAAGTTATAAATAACACATTAGCCTGGTTTATGTGTTCATGCAAGTCAGGCTATAAATTGGCAGATGAATGAAATTAACTGTCTCCAGAATTCACATTCCTGTCACTTATTCAATTATTTGATCAACATAATTGCTCAGAGCAAGAGCTAATTGGAAAATAACATGTATTTACCCTCTCTATAGAGGAAGAGAGGCTTGTCAGGTATTTTACTGCAGGCACTTTGATTACTTCCAATATTCTGGAAGAAACAAGGGTTTTAAATGAGCCAGGCACAAACACACAAGGCTTTTTTTTTTTTTTTTAGCCAGATGCTTCCCCATCCTTAAAATAGCTCTAGTATTTTGTAGTGCAAGGGTTGGAACATGCCTATACTACAGCACACACAGGTATCTTGGCACGCATGTATGCGAGCTGCAAGCCAAGCTTGCCTCCAGGGGTCTGCAGCACAAAATGTGTTCCTGCTCTGTGTATCTGTATTCATGCTGGTGCT